GTTCTTTGATTGAGAGTTCCTGCATGGCAGAATGGGGTTCTTACGAGTCTAGGACTCCATGATATCCTGGGATCTGTAGGTTGGGAAAGGATAGCTGCCTCTGCCACGGGATGCTGAACAATTCATGAAGTTACAAATCCCAAATGGTTTTAATGTGAATGAGGAGACGTCGGAGAAAGACATTTCCAGTACGAACTTTGATGGATTCCGGTCCGACTTTATCAGAGGAATCGAATCCATGGCTTTTTCCTCCCTGATTCTCAAAGATGCTCCGGGATGCTTTCCTATCCCAGTTTTAGAAAGCCTGGGGACATTAGGACAAACGAAACCCTTGACTTTAGAGCCAGATGGTATAGTGGTTTAAGCTTTGGACTAGGGCTCTGAAGACAAAGTGGCTGATCATGGGCAAGTCACACTCTCTCAGCCTCAGAAGGTGGCATAGACAACCAACCAACCTGGTGATAGCTTCCCTTTAGGGTCGCCGTAGGTCACAAACTACTTGAAGGCACCCAACAACAAAACCCTTTAAAACCTTTCCTTCCTCCCAGGACCCTTTGGCAGTCTTTCGTCAAGTTTTAGCATTCTCTCTTCACTGCAGAAACAATCCAGGTTGACACCATTTTAACTTCCATAGCTCAATCAATGCTGTGGAATTCTGAGAATTGTAGTTTGCGGTGGCACTACAGCTCTCTGACAGAGGAGGCTGAATATCTCACAAAACTGTAATTCCCAGAATTCCCTAGCATTGGTGGAAATCCCAGAGGGTGGCTCGAACCTGGGACCCCTTCCATCCAAAGCAAATGCTCTCCCTCTGAGCCGCGGTCTCACCTCTTTTCTGTTTTGTGGATTCTGGATGATACTATACTTTGCTCTATGGCCAACAGGGCTACTACTCCTTGATATGTTTCAATAGGGATGTAAACCCCACTGGGTGACCTTGGCCGAGTCACATTCTCTCAGCCTCAGAGAAAAGGCAAGCCCCGCCCCCCCCAGGTCGCCTTAAGTCAGGAAAGGGCTTGAAGACATACAACAACAGCGGCTTATGGGAGCCCATGAATTTAACTGGGTTTTCTTAGGCAAGGAATTCTGTTGGTTTTGCTGGTCGCTGTTGTTGTGTGCCTTCAAGTCGATTCCGACTTATGGCGACCCTAAGGCGGACCTTTCACAAGGTTTTCTTGGTAAATTTCTTTAGGTTTTTTTTTTGTCAATGTCATCCTCTGAGGCTGAGAGAGTGCGACTTGCCCAAGGTCACTCAATGAGTTTCATAGCAGAGCGGGGACTCGAACCCTGTTCTCCAGAGTCCTAGTCCAACGCTCAAACCAGTACACCACTGGCTCCTCCTTGCTGGTTCCTTCCTCTGAAATATATAGCCTACCTGCCCTTGGTTGTCTCCCATCCAAGTACTAACCAGGGCTGACCCTGCTTAGCTTCCATGATCAGGCGGGATCTGGTACCTTTGGAGTCTTACAACATTCCCAAAGTTGAAGGATGCAGAGACATGGCTGTGGTTCAGCAGAAAAAGTTAGGAAAGAATCATGGAGCATCTTTGATACTAAATAGGTCCCTTTCACCCTGTCCAAAATGTATTGCACTTAAACTGCCCTGGCTTCATCCCATGTAATCCTGGGATCTGTAATTCGGAACAGTATGAAGGTCTCTAGCACAGAGTTCTTAATAACTCATGAAACTACAAATCCCAATGGTGTGATGGGAAAGAGACCTCCAAAAAACATTTCTAGCATAAGCTTGTATGGACTCCAGTCCATTTTATCAGATGCATCGAACCACAGAAAAATTATTCCCCCCCCCC